TGAGATGAGCCCGCCCCCGGGCCCTGCCCCCTCGCTGCCAGGAGCCGGCCGCAGGCCTGACAAACGTGCACCCGAGGGCAGAGCAAATGGCTTTTGCCTGTTCTGCCCTGCGCGTCGAGGTCAGTAGATTTGGCTTCACTGTAAAAGCAGCTTCCTGGGAGGAGGTGCCCTGGAGCTGTGCTGGCCCAGGGCACGGCTGCAGTCGGCAGCCCGCCCCCGGGCCCTGCCCCCTCGCTGCCAGGAGCCGGCCGCAGGCCTGACAAACGTGCACCCGAGGGCAGAGCAAATGGCTTTTGCCTGTTCTGCCCTGCGCGTCGAGGTCAGTAGATTTGGCTTCACTGTAAAAGCAGCTTCCTGGGAGGAGGTGCCCTGGAGCTGTGCTGGCCCAGGGCACGGCTGCAGTCGGCACGGGCAGGGAGCCCTCACCTTGGTCTCTGACCTGCAGATTCCCTGCTGGCACAGAGAGGCCCTGGAGCTGGGGCAGGCACCTCGGGCCTGTAGCATCCTCTGCTGCATGGAACGCTCTCCGCGAGCCCAGAGGAGAGGGGCGAGGGAGAGGCTGGGGAAGTCCTGCCGGGAGGGCCTCCTGGCCGCTCTCCCCAGCAAACCCCCGTCTTGCTAAGGCAGGACCACGAGCTTTTTCTCCAGGGTTTGTGGGGGGAACAAGCCCCTCCTCACGACGTCGTCGAGCTCCTCCAGGGCCAGCCGGGCGTGAAGCACGGCCACCTCGTCACGCTCACAGCACAGCACCCACTTCAGCAGGCGGTAGAGGTCCCGCAGCACGTCCCGGAGAACCTGGGGGAGACGGGCAGTCAGCGCCTCCGAGAGCCTCCCCGCGGCCTGTGCATGGCACGAGGCACCGCCGGGAGCCACCGGCCCGCCCGTCACGGCCCAGGGCACCTCGGCAACGCCCTGCCCCCCCCTTGCTCATCTGGCAGAGGGGGCGGGACAGCGCTCTCCCACCACAGCAGAGCTGGGCCACTGCATTTACCCCTGGGCAGCCCCCAGAGTTTCACCCCGGGGCAGGTTTCCAGCTCCCAGGCTGGGGAAGGGAAGCTCGTACCTACCCCTTCCCCACCGGTCAGCCAGCTGCAGGAGCAAGCCAGCGTGGAGCGAAGCGGAGCAGGGCTGAGGACAGGCGGCGGGCGCACAGAACCAGACCTTCGCCCCGCTGGACCTCCAGGGTTCAAAGGCCTTTAGGGATCAGCATGACTCAGAAGTTCCTGCTCCCAAGGGCAGGGTTAGCTGGAGCCGCCCCGGCCGTGGCAGGGACCTGCCAACACCCCCGCGGCAGGGGCTGGCCTGACACCAGCAGTGACCTCAGCCCCCAGCCTGCCGTGCTGGGGGACGTGCAGGGCAGGCTCTGGCCTAAGGCCCCAAGCCCGCAGCACCCACCCCCCGAGCTGCTGCCTGTGCCCCAGGCGGCATCACTCGGGCTGCCCAGCCTGGCTGGAGCTGAGCCCCCGGGCACGGCAGAGCACCCCCTTTGGACACAAGCGCCAGGGCGGCGTCCTGCTGGCCGCGTCTCCCAAGCCCTGGGGGCGAGCACGGCAGCACCTGCCCCCCCCCCAGCGCCTCTGGACAGCTTCCCTAGCGGGTCAGAACCACTGCAAGGGGCACCCCGCCCTGGGCTCCCTATTCCCCCAGCAGGCAGGTCGCTTGCCGCCTGCACAGCTTGTGAGTCAGGCCCGGGAGGGACCCGGCAGCACGAGCCCTGGCCCAGGGGGTGAGCAGCACAGCCCGACCCTGCTGCTGGGGGACCCGGCCTGCCAGGCCCAGCTGAGTGCGAGGGAGGCAAAGCTCCACCCCCGGCTTTCCTGCAGGAGACCCGATGCCCCTGGGCGCCAGCCTCCCAAGACAGTTCTGGGGGCGCCGGAAAACTGCCCAAGGCAGCAGAACAATCCCGTCCTGCCGGCTCATCCGTGGCCCTACGGACAGCCACTCAGAACGGAGAGCGCTAGATCCGGCCCAGCCTGGCGCCTGCCAACTGCGCCCTGCCAGGCTCTCCCCGCCACACCTGGCCCGGGGCAGGGGAACCCGACAATCCCATTTCTCCGGGAGCCTGTTCCACCCCCAGGTTCCCCTCCTCCTCGCCTCCCTGGCTTGTGCCCCTTCAGCATCAACGGCTCGTTCTCCCCTCCCCGCCCGTGCCCGGCCGCACACACTGGCATCCCTTCTACCACAGCCCAGCCAGGGCCAAGCGCTGCCCGCTCCCAGCCGGCGCCAGGGATTCCCGAGAGCCGGATTGTTTCCTTGAACCAGGGGAAGACGGCCAAGCACAGGTGCTGCTGGGAACCCTCCCCGAGCCGGCAAGGAGGGGGAAGTCCAGCCCCCCGCACATGACGGCCCCCTGGCAGTGCCTGGGAAGCAGACAGCTGGCCAGGGGCTGCAGCGCCAACTTCCCCTTTCCTCGCTCTTATTCCCGAGCAGGGGAATTCCACCTCCCCCTCGCGGATGGGGTGGGAGGGGAGTTGTGGGGAGGGCCCAGCCCAGGGCGGGAGATCAGAGGGAGGGGGCCTGCCCCGTGCAAAGGGAAACGGGTGCAACCCCCTGTCACACGGGGGAGGGGAGCACTCCCGGTAGCTGCAGCTGCTGGAAACAGGCGAGGCCCTGCCCTGTGCTGAGAGGGGCAGCAAAGGCCAGACACAGCCCAAGCGTGCGCTGGGAACGGGGGGTGACCAGTCAGGCTCCCTGGTCTGCAGCCCCTGGGCTTCCCCCATCTCTCTGCAGCAAAGCCTTGAATTCACTGGGGATGCTGCTCCTGGGGGGCCCCGGCCTGCCAGCCCCCGGCGCGGTTACTGGGCAGCTGAGCCTTGAACCCGGCTCATCCCCGGCGTCCCGGCCAGCGGCCACGGCCTCTCCCTGCAACGTAGCGTGAACGGAGCCACCACTGAGCCCGGCCCAGGGGGCCCAGGCTCCCTGCAGCTGGCGGGGAGGCGTCAGCGTGGACGGGCTCCTCTGCGCGGGGAGGCGGCAGGTCGGCACCACCAGCTCCACGTTCCGTTCAGCCCCCGTGGGACAGGCTCCAACCCTCATCCCCACTGGACACTTGCACACGGGGCAGGCCCGGCTGCCTGCAGCCGCCCCACTGATCCGAGGGCAGCTGCCTCGGGCGCCCTCCGCCTGCCACGCTTGGTGCCAGCAGCGTCACTGGAATGCCCCTGGCACACTGCCCGGTGGGACACGGAGCCAAGCCTGCTGCTCACACGCAGAGAGCATCGGCCGCAGTGAGGCCTGCAAGCCTGAGACGCCTTCCCCTGCAGAGCCACCGACACCTGACTGCATGGGGCCAGATACCCAAAGCCACGTTCCCACCACCAGAGAGACGCAGTCCTTGGACTGGAACTGGCGTGAGGGCAGGGGGAGGAAAGCTTCAATTTCTGCAGAAATTAACAATCCATGGCAACAGCTGCTACTCTAACCCTTGTGGTTGGGGGCAGGGGGCTTGGAAACACAAACAGAAAGCAACGCAACGCAACGCAACGCCAGCTTCCTGAGTCTGCACATGGTTCCGGTGCCTCTGCTGCTGCTCACAGCTTTCCCATGGGGTAGCAGGGATTAACTCCACCCGCTCAGTGTCACTGCTCCACCCTACAGTTCTGTAGCTAGCCCTTCAAACAGGAAGGTCTGTTTCAGGCGGGCGCCCCTACTCTTCACTGGCAGAGACCCAGAACGGGAGGGGGAGAGCTGTAGCAAGCTGTCCACGCTCGCAGGGGAGGAGGGACAAGCACGGCTCCTTTCCCCGTGAGCAGCTAGCAAGATGAGACGTTCCCAGACTTCTACTAGGCAGAGGTGGAGCCAGGCAAGCACCCCTGCCATAGAAATGCTAGCAAGGATCCCAGCTCCCCAGAGAAAAGCGCCCAGAGCAGCGAGTCCGCCCCCCAGCGCACATGGGAAGCTGCCTGTGAGTGACAGGAAGGGGCACAGCACAGTTCCGACTGCAACGCTCCCATCCTCTGGCCAAGGGCATCACGCAGCCAGCCTGCCCCAGCCGCTGAGCCTCCGGGGGAAGCTCTTCCGTCCCCAGCAAGAACGGCGACAACATGCAACGCTCCGAGTGCCAGGCTCCGCAGGCAGCCTGCTGCTGCCACATCCCTCTGCCAGCTGGGGGAAGCGGGTTAGAGGCACATGGCGGGGGGAGAAGTAGGAGGCCGCTGCCCATTTGTCTCCTGCCTATCACAGACCGTGATGAGTGTCTGAAAGTTTGGAGAATAACGTTACCCTGGCCGGGAGTCACCCTCATGCGCGTGTTCTGCGCTCTGTGCCCGACGGAACGGTCTGGGTCAGCTGATAGCCACTCGGCCGGGCTGGGACGGGGCAGGAAGGAACCAAGGAGGCAGTTGCCCTGGGGCTCCGGGCTGCCCCCATCACTGCTGTGGCAGCAGTGGCGGCTGGGCCCTTTAAATGGCCACTGGAGCCCTGGGCAGCACAGTCCAGGTGGCACTGAGGGCTCGCTGCCCCTCGCCTCCCCCAGAGCTGAGCCCCTCTCTCCCCCGTTGCCCGGGGCCCTGTGGAGTCTGTCACCAGCCCTGGTAAATACCCAGTCCGAGAGGCGTTAAAACCCCGGGGGGCATCAGCTGACGAAGGCAGGGAGCTCCCGGGGCAGGTGGCGAAGGCAGGACAGCAGCACCCTGGCTGTAATTGTGCAGCCCGGCCCGCGCGGGGAGGGACCAGCAGAGGTGCCTGCCCTTGCTCTGCATGGTTTTCCCTGGTGGGGTCGTGTCACGTTACTGGATTTTGAGGGGAGCAGCCACTGCTGCACCCACGGGGGGGTGTTGGCCCCAAAAGTGGTACAAAGGGGGCCATGTAAGGGGTCAAACAAAAGCTACTTTCTACTGGTTCTGTATCTGCTCTTCATATATGTCTGGGTGTGGAGTTAGGAATCTGTACTCTGTATGGGGACTGGAAGTTTCTCTGTATGTGGTTGAGCGATGGGCTCAGCCTATGGACATGCTAATTAGCAAGGGACAATAGGCCTCTTAAGTACCTGAGACCCACCTATGAAGGAATCTAGGTGCCTGGTCAGAGACCATGTGACTGTCTCCAGCTTGGAAGAGCCAGGAAGGGGTATAAATAGGCCATGTGTCTGACTCCATCTTGGTCTCCAGATCTGCTCCTGACCCCAGATGCGGCCTCGCAGGGATTCACGAGCCGGGAAGAACTACGGACCCATCCTGGCATAGGATGTGCACCAAGGACTTTTAAACCAGCAGCTGCAACATCTCTGCTAGAGCCTGCACCGCGAACTGGGAGATTCGATGCATGTAACGTATGATACTTTAACAACCTCGCTCTCAGGCTTTTCTTTCTTATAGTAATAAACCGTTAGATGTTAGATGCTAAAGGATTGGCCCAGCGTGATTTGTGGGTAAGGTCCAGAGTGTAAATTGACCAGGGATCTGTGGCTGGTTTCTTGGGACTGGACAGAACTTGTTTGGGGTAGGTGGGATTGGGTGCTAGAACCCCCTCACCTGTGTATGAGGCCCGGGGCCATCTGGGGCACGGATATTGCTGGGGTGTCGGAGGGGTTTTGCTCCTGAGGATTCAGGGAAGCAGCTGAAGCGCTCGGTGGGACTGGTGTTGCCTGTTTGGGAAGGTCTCCAGTCTGGGGGCTAGAGAGAGCCCCAAGTTTGAGCAATTCGCCCTGAGCGCCCTGGGGAAGGGCCCACACACAGGAACGAGGAAGCTGGACCACGCCCCGTGGACACAAAGAGGCAGAGGACAGCCGTGGCTTTTAGGGTCATCACTGGTCTGTATTTCACTGCCTCCAGGCCCAGGACCCAGCGGAAAGCCGGAGAGAGGCCTCGGTCCCTGCGTGCCTGATGCTGCCGAGGGGGATCTCTCCTCGGGCCCTGGCACGGACGCGCCGAGGAGACCCGCGTGAGCACTAACCCTCCAGATCGGCATGGGCGCGAGGCAGGCAGGGGAGCCAATTCCAAGCTCCCCCTTTGTGATGTAGTGGGGGTACCTGGCTGGTTTCTATGCTGCTGGCTCTGGGGTAACCCCCACTGGCTGCCGTGGGTACCATGACCCAGCAAAACAGGATGAGTCATTATGCAACCAGTATGGCCAGACACCCCCCATGGAGAGGAACAAAGGAAGGTGGAATGCTGCCCTGGCTGGGAGGGCAGGGCTGGAGGAGGGTGAGTTAGTTGCTGGCTGGAAGCATGGAGGAGACAGCCTAGGGAAAGGGACTGGAGTTTAGGGGCCCAGTCTCCCCCATCTCAAGGGGGCCTGAGGCATCCTAGCCCAGCTCTGTGACCAGATTACATCTGTGCTGTGCTGTATCCTGGAGAGGCAATAAACTTTCTCTATTCCACCGGCTGGTGCAGTCTGTTTGTGCCATTTCGGGGTGCAGGAGACGGGGGAACCCCATCGCGCCGTCACACCCTTTCACTTTCATTCGCTTTCACCTGAACATGGAAGTTTACCTGGTGAGTGCGTCAGGCTTCCAGGAGCCACACCTGGGCTTTTACTGCCTGCAGCATCTAGGGACCGTTTCTCGTCGTGACTCTGCCCATCCCAGAGCCCACGCCGCTGCCACCTAGCGACGGCTTCAGAGGGATGGGACGCAGCCGTGGGAGGGCACATCACCCGTACCAGGCTCAGGAAGGGCCACGCAGGCAGGGTCCTCGGGTCTGAGCCACTTGCAAGTTTCCTTGCTCTGTGGCAGGAGCCGGGTATGCGGGCCCCAGGGCGGATGCAGGAGCAACGTGGTGAACGCCTAGGCTTGGCGTGAGGGCCAGTGGGGGCGAGCGAGGATGCTGGCAGTACCTGGGAGCCGGGAGCGAGGCTCACTCACCTCAGTGGCTCTGTCACTGAGCCCACGGAGCAGCAGCACCACCACGTGGACGGCAGCTCTTCGGACTTCAGCCTCCGGGTCTGTCTTCGCCACGGCTGTCAAGCAGGAGGTCACCTGCCGGGCGAAGGGGGGGAGAAGGCTCTTAGTATGCAGCGCCCTGCTACACCTCCCCCACCGCAGGAGCCTGCACCTCCGGCCCTCCTCGGCCTTGCTGGGCCGGCGAGGTGCAGGCAGGAACTGAGCTGACGCAGGGCGTGTCCCACAACTTGCGGCTCCACAAAGGACTGGCCGCCTGCTCTGCCACAGGCCTGGCGGTCTGCCCACCTGCAGCTGGGGCTGAACCCAGCCCTGGAAACTGAGGCAGACGTGGGCCTGCAGGCTGGAGCACGCCCCATGCCGCGGGTCCTCACGGAAGCTGCAGGCCAGGGGGCTGTGGTGGGGCTGGGAGGGAGGGAAGGAAGCCCCACGTTATGCCGCTCTCCTGCGTTTTCTGCCAGCTGAGGCAGGGAGGGCTGCTGCCTCAGGCCCCTCCCGCCGCCTCCCTTCAGCCCCCATCCCCTAACCACAGTGACCAAGTTCTCAGAGGTGCTGACCTCCGGAGGCTGCCAGTGCCCTGGGGGGGAGTGGGCCCGGCAGCCCCTTTCCACTGGGTCAGGCTAGTTAGCAGCCTCGCCCGGGCTTGGGCACCACATTTGATTGAATGTGCAGATGCTGTTAGGCTCCCTCAGACCGGCAGGGCCTTTGCCCGCGTGTTGCCAGGGCAACGGGGCGGCAGAGCTGAGCTGGGGCCCAGCAGATGCCGTGCGGGAGGCAGCGAGTGCGTGAAGGGTCGTGAGCATGGCCCGTTCCCACGGAGACCGCGCGCTCTGCCCTCGGCGGGCTGAGAACGCCACTCGCCCACCGCACGGCCTCTGAGTTTCTGTGGCACAGGATGGTTCATCTCTGCCGGTCTGGGCGCTGGGCCTGGGGCCCACGGGATGGGGTGGCCATCACCTCCCAGGGAGGCTGGCTGGCTCTCAGCAGCACAGGGCCACATGTCGGGTCCCAGGGAACTACCTGGCACAGCCCAGGTTAGGACCCAGGAGCGGTACTGAAGGGTTGGTCACTCCGTCAGAGGGGAGGGGAAACGGGGCCACACCAGGCTCGAGCGCGACTCCCTGGGCCGGTGTTGTCTCAGATGGGGCGAGAGCCCCCAAGGAAAGCGCCTGACGCCCTGAGACAGCAGGTGACGCAGCGTGTGGAGAGACGCCCCTGGCACAGGGCCCCGCGCTGCAGCCTGCGTGTTCCTCTGCGCTAGGCAGGCAGCGGTTCAAGAGCCTAATTAGATAATCAGCCACAGCAGGGAGAGCTTGCACGTTCCTGAAATAGCCGGCGCGCTGGCAGCTCCCCCGGCACCATCACTGCCCGCTCGAGGCGGGAGCGGGGACAAGAGAGGAACGCTCACTTCAGCGCTCCGACTGCCCTGCAGCACGGCGAGCTGCGGCTCCACGCCTCACCGACGCAGCGGCCTGCCGCGCACACCAGCCAGATCCCAGAAACTCAAGGGCTAAACAGGGCTCCCAGCGCAGCCTGTGAACAAGGGGGAACCCCCCTGCTCCCCGGCGCTCACCGGCAGGGGTGGACCAGCGGAGAACTGAATGAACAGCGAAGTTAGACAAACCCCAACCACAGCCACGGCCCGGCCCATCTCCGTGGCTCTGGCCAGGGGCGCTCCTCTTGGAATCATGCACGGTAGCACGACCTGCCTTCCTCCTCACACGGGCTGCCACAGTTCCCGGGAGAGTTTAACCCACCTGCCTCCCGCCTGGGGGCAGACAGACGTGAATTCCCACCTTTGCAAAGCGCTGCCTGACGCTGGCAGACGGGGGCTGCTTGGCGCCATTTCCTGACAGCGGGAAAAGCTCCAGCGTATCGGCTCTTTGTACAAGGACAGCGCCTGGTCCCCGCGCACCTGCCAGGGCGTCGCAAGAGGGGCTGGTGCAGCGGAGGGGCTGCACCAGCCCGGCCCACCTACTTCTTTGTGCTCGAGAGCAAGGACTCAGGAAGCATGGAGCTGGAGCCGGGGCCCCCCTCGAGCCGGGAGCACCCCCAACAGACCTGCACTCGCGTCACACCATGGCAGGGCTCCCCCACAGGTCTCACTCAGTCTGGTGAGCGGGTTGCCTGGGGGAGGCCCGGCAGGACTCGGCCCTCATGCAGGCTCTGGCCAGGGCTTCTCAGCCTCCTCTTTCTGCCAGTACGCGGCCCCCGCCTGGCCTAGCCCAGGCTCCTGGAGAGCCAAGGGCCCCTGCTTCCTGGACAAGGGACGGTGTAGTGTGACGCTGGCCGGGAGGCACAGCCCCGGCTTACACCAGCACGGTGTTCTACCGTGCAGCTCACGGGCTGTGTTCCCACGGAAACGCAGACAAAGCCAGCTCTCCGGGCCCTGCGGGAACGCCTTGGTGCCTCCGCGCTGCTCCCCGCCCTCACACGGAGAGCCAAGGGCCCCTGCTTCCTGGACAAGGGACGGTGTAGTGTGACGCTGGCCGGGAGGCACAGCCCCGGCTTACACCAGCACGGTGTTCTACCGTGCAGCTCACGGGCTGTGTTCCCACGGAAACGCAGACAAAGCCAGCTCTCCGGGCCCTGCGGGAACGCCTTGGTGCCTCCGCGCTGCTCCCCGCCCTCACACTTACACCCGGAGCCCCCGCCCACCTGCCCGCCAGCCCCGCTACCGGCCTGCGCTGGGGAACACCTGCCCCGGCCGCAGGCCTGGAAGGGACCAAAGTGGGCACTGAGCTGAGGAGCCCTGCCTGCCCTCTGGCGCCTCTCACCTCTGCCTGCCTCCTGGGTGGCGCACTGCCCGGGCAAAGGCAGCCCCAGCCCCAGCATTTCTGCAGGCCCGTCTCTGCGGGACTCCCCAGCTGCCCGTCACTGGCCCCAGCGTGGCTGAGGAGTGTGGCAACAAAATGGCAAATGAAATTGAATGTGGATAAATGTAAAGTAATGCACATCGGGAAAAATAACCCCAACTATACGTACAGTACGATGGGGGCTAATTTGGCTACGACAAATCAGGAAAGGGATCTTGGAGTTAAAACTTCCACAGGGTATGTCTACACTACCCTCCTAGTTCGAACTAGCGGGGTAATGTAGGCATACTGCACTTGCAAATGAAACCCGGGATTTGAATTTCCCGGGCTTCATTTGCATAAACTGGGCGCCGCCATTTTTAAATCCCTGCTCGTTCGAACCCCGTGCCGCGCGGCTACACGCGGCACAAACTAGGTAGTTCGGACTAGGCTTCCTAGTCTGAACTACCGTTACTCCTCGTGGACGAGGAGGGGGGACGACTGCGAATGGAAGCTGTGGGGGAGACATTGGAACCAGGAGAGGGGGAGGGGGAGGCCGAAGTTAGACGAGGTACCGGGGCGGGAGGCCGGGATGTGAAGCTGGGATCCAGGCCCTGAGCTGTATTTAGAAGAGGGATCAACAAGCACACAGCAAACGGGTCCTGGCGTCACACCCCAAACAACGGGGACAAAACCAACCATCAAACAGCTGCTCGTTCAGGGTTCACCATCCACCCTGGGCACCGAACGAGGCAGGGGCCTGCGGGAACAGCCGCCTGGGAGCATGCAAGGAAAGGCTGCCCTGCTCCCATCGAGTACAACGGGCCCCTCCCCCTCGCTCGGCCAGCACTAACGGCTTCTAAGATTAGGCAGAGAAGGTAGCTACTCCGCAGGGGGCCGTGCAGCCCAGTACCTCTTGCGCCACGGAGCCCAGCCGGAAGTGGAGCCTCTGGCACAGCTCTCCCAGGTTGGACAGGCTGCTAGCCCGCAGGGTGCCGTCCGGGTCTCTGGCTCCCCTCAAGAAGGCTTGCACCAGGGGAGCGCTGTAGTGGCAGGCCATGTCCCCTGCAGGGGAGAGAAGACGAAAGCACAGGCGTAAGGAGACTTGCCCGGATTCAAACGCAAACGGGTCCAGCCCGGAGATGCTTCCGTCAGAGGGAAGGCCTTTTCGGAACGCCTTTCCCGCGCGCTGGAGCCCACTCCTGGAGCAGCGCAGACGCACCCCGGCTCCAGATCGGTCTTTTTAGTTGCCAGCATTAAATACAAGTGGGCTCAACAGTGTTAATCCCTTCATGCCAGTTGCAGCATGGCGGGATTCCTGTGCCGTGCTCGCCTAGAGCCTCCCAGGGTGTCGCCTCCTTCAGCAATTTCTCCCCCAGATAAGGCAGCCGGGCCAGTGATCAGCTCGTATGAAATGCCCTGTGCTCTCGCGGGGAGCCCACCGCCACGTGGCCTCAGAGCCAGGGACTCTGCAGACCCTCTCTAGCAGCAACCCCAGATGTGCACCAGAAAACCAACCCAAGCGTGCACCAGTATTTTGTGCAGTCTGAAGCAGAGAGCCGGTTGTGAGACTGTCACTGTCTCTCAATTGTCTAACGGCTGTCAGCCTTCACAAATACAATACTCACCACACTGAAGCCATTTCAAAATCCAAAGGGGTGCTAAAGGTTCGAATGTCAGAATATCCAGAGGTGCAAAACTCCGTATCTAATGAGCACGTGTGGGCACCATGAACGTGCAAACTGAATAACTGTGCACACAAATGTGTCTAATTAGCTACCTGCATGCACAATTATCCATGTATAGGCATTAAAACACGCATCCTGTAGGACGAAGCGGGAAATCGGATCAAAGGCATTGCAAAAATTGCAGGTGCAATCCGGTACATACTATTTTCTGAACTATAGGTGCAAACTCTTAGGGTGTGTCTAGACTACAGGGTTTTGTCGACAAAAGTGGACTTTTGTTGACAAAACTATACCTGCGTCTACACTGCCGCTGAGTTCTGTCGACATAATGTTGACAGAACTCAGCAGTTTTGTCGACGGCTGTAAATCTCATTCTACGAGGAATAACGCCTTTTGTCGACAGAGTTCTGTCGACAGAAGGCGTTATTGCATCTACACTCCTTTGCATCTGCACTGTCATGTCGACAAAGCAGCTTGCTTTGTCGACAGAACTGGGTGTAGTCTAGATGCTCTTTGTCGACAGAAGCTTTGTCGACAGTATCTGTCGACAAAAGCCTGTAGTCTAGACAAACCCTTACATGCTACAACTGAAATTCATCTGGGGTACTATTAAAATACAAAGGCAGGGACAAGAAGACAGAATATGAATATAGAACAATGACAGGCCAACAGAAACAAAAAGTTAGTGATTCCACAAGTACCTGAAGACCCCTAGCTCTCTCCTTTTGTCTGTCTCATGTGGCAAAGGAGAGTTGTTCTGACCTTTAGGTATTTATTACAATGGATCTTAAGATGCCAGCTACTGGGTACCCATGGATATCAGAGACATAGAGGGGCACACCCACCTATCGGAACAGAACTGGGGTCCAAGAACTTGGTGTGAGTTTCTAAACCAAACCCAGTGGCAAAACCACCTATTGATGGACGTTGCATATGGTAATAGGTTAACAAGCTCTATACACAGGAGCTATTGCCCTGTGGACCACAGGAAAAGAACCCTTTTAGATTGCCAGTGACTCCAAGTGCTTCTCAGGGCTTCCTGCCATAGTCCCCAGCATCTGCTCCCTGAAAAACTCCAATCTTGAGTGGCGCCAAAGACACGAGGCCGCTGAGCCAGAGTGCGCTTACTGGGAAGAGGCGAATTCAGCAATGTATTTCTGTGGACATGAAGCCACGGCAACACTGTACCAGCACAGAAAGGGGGAGCCAGCTGGCTCGACAAGCTTCACCGATTGCTCACACCAGAATCTCAGAGATGGCTTTGAGCAGGGAGCCAAGAGACCCTCGCTCTGATATCAATGTCAGAGCATCCTTGCTGCGAGATCTCACCTTGAGTCACAGGTTGTAACAGACGTGGGTTTCTCATCTGACTCCCTGCACGGCCTCGGAGCACAAAGGCTGGCTGAAGGCTCCCCTCTTACCTCGTTAGCCAGAGAGCAGACTCCATACTCATAGGGAGTGTGTGCTTATTTCCTGCAGTTTTTCAGGCCCCAAATGATACCAGGCTACGCTCCATGAATGGGTGTGGGAGCAACAGACACAGAGCCAACCTCATTGGGTGCCACTGCCCTGGGACACTGAAGAGCCATCGGGTCTTCCAAGAGGAGAGCGTCACTCTAACCTGGGTCTGAACAATACGATGGCAGCTGCCTCATACTGCTGTCGGTCTAGCTGTTTTGCAGAGCCAGGCAGCCTCTGCTGACCCATCTGGCTAGATAGCGGAGACGCCTCTGGCTGCTTGCGG